AATGGAAATGTGATCGCTGCTATTCGGCTTCAAGTGCAAATATGGTAAACTCCACACCTAACAATAATATAACCACTCGGACAAAGAATAAATTGGTCATAAATATTTCTACCGAAAACTCCTTCGGCTCACTATCAGAAAGTGAGGAAATTGGTGACACAGTTCTACTACATAATTTAGAATTAAATAGAAGCCTTCCCGAGAAACTGAATCATGACAAAACCCAGGAGATTGAAGAACTTCAACATAAAATCAATACACTTTGTAGTAAACTGGAGTCAGCCGAGCAGGAAATTGACAATCTGTTGTCAGAAAATTATGCACTTCAAAAGCAACTAAGCAGCCAAAAACTGAAAGTAAATTGTCTTAGCACATTAAGCAAGGCTTCGCCGAAGTCTAGGATACAGTGCAAAAAGAATAGACAAAAAAAAACAAATTACTAAAACAGTACTGGATTTTGCAGATTTATCAAAAGATTACAGAGAACAAGAAACTCGTTCGATTAATATTTCAAATATTATTACGATGCCCACAGACGACATTAGTAGGTCACCAGCAGTAAGCATAGAGCTACAGGACGTTCCTTTATCTAACGGACAGGAGAATGGAGAGAGGGAAATAAACCATTCCCCATCCCTAACGGAAGATAAAGAAGAGATTTCGTCATTTAAATTGTCAATTCGTAAAAAAAGGATTCTTCTGTTGGCTGATGAGACTGGTCGTGCATTCAGAAACATGCTAGAGAATATTCTTGGTGAAGATTACACAATAACTTCCGTCTTGAGACCTTATGCATCCCTTAGTCAAATTGTCACCAATGAAAATAATAATATTGAGCTATGTCATAACGAATTTACAAAAAAGGATTATGTAATAGTATTAGCTGGTACTCATGACAAAGATTTAAACTGTTTTAAGAATGCCCTAGATCATTGCTTCAAATCATTACTAAATACTAATGTGCTAATAGGGAAAATTTATAATAATCAATGTTTCAATGTATATAAATTAAATGAACTGATGGTAAATAGGTGCTTAAATATGTCTAATGTACGTTGTTTTGACCTAAGTTTTCGCAACAATAATGTTATAGATAGATTTAACACTTGTAGGTGGATTGGTTTAGACATTACATTACTTAACTATAAGAACAACCAACAAATTAATTCTACAAAGACAGTGAAAAGTATACACACACAAACAGAAAAAAAGTTTTTTCTTGACTAATGTTTCGGTAAATGAGAATTTTCCATTATATAGATCAAATACTTATCAAAATTATAATAATGATCTAAAAAATCCCACTTTAAATATATTGTTTCAAAATGTGTGTGGTATAACTAAGAGACGAGATCAATATGAAATATACCTAGAGGAATTAGAACAGAGACAAAACGTTATATGTCTATGTGAACATTTTTTGAATGAGAGGACAATAAATTTTTTACATTTTGAAAATTATGAGTTATGTACATATTTTGCCAGAAAGCAAAAAATAAGAGGGGGAGCTTTGATTTTACTTCAGAAGGGTAGGAAAGTTGAAATAATTGACTGTAAAAGATTTAGTAGAGTTGACTGTTTTGAAGTATGTGGAGTGAAAGACTTGATCTCTAATATTCTTATTTTTTGTTGTTACCAAAATAATGATTACTTTGACATATTTGTAGAAAGACTTGAATTGTTGTTGCAGCATTGTTCTAACAAAAAAGTTATAATATGTGGTGATTTTAATGTCAACATGCTTGACAACAAAGACGAGAAACATAAAAGATATTTTTGCAATTTACTTAAGAGTTACAACTTTAGACATCTTGTGAATTCGGTTACATTCCAGCGCAATGAAACGCAGTCATCCATTGATAATATTTTAACAAATATGCAGCTAAGTGAAATTTTTAGAGTTGAGGTTGACCATAACGGGCACTCAGACGGACATGCTGCCTTATTGACTTCAATTCTAATGGAGAAAAAAAATGGGAAAAAATATTTAGAGCCAGCTATGGTTGTTAAAAGAAGAAAGTTCAATAAAAGGAACAAAGAAAATTTTCGAAATAGAATATTAGAAGAGAATTGGTATACACATGGTGTAAACTCGTTTTTGCAGGCATTTACTGGAATCTTTTGTAACAGTTTTAAAAAAACTAAGAAAAAACTTAACCTCTACAAACATAATAAAATAGGATGGCTGACAAAAGGTATTAAAATATCAAGCAAAATGAAGAGGTTTTTAGGTGGCAATACAATTAAAAATCACGAGTCTGTAACGAACTATAGGCATAGATATTTAAGTATTTACAGAAAAGTTTTACGATGGGCTCGGCGTTTCTCAGTACAATCCGAAATAAATATGAATGTAAATTGTTCTAAAGGCATATGGCATACAGTAAACAAGCACACTAACAGAAATAAAAAAACAGTCCCAGAAAACTTTGTACTTAAAATAGATAATAAAATTATTCAAGACTCAAAAGAGATTGCTATGATCTTTAGTGACAATTTTGATCATGGGAAAAATTCAGTTCAGTCCAAATTAGATACTGCCCTAACAATATTACATGACAGCACAAGACGCGTGGAATACAATATGGAGTCCTGCATGACTGACGGTAGTGAAGTGTCAGAAAGTCAGAAATAATAATCTTGAACTTTTGAAATCTTATTTAGGCAACCGAAAACAATTTGTAGAGATAAAAGACGTTACTGCTGATGGTAATCAACTAGTGCAAACATCAAAAATTGTAAAAGTGACGAGGGGAGTCCCACAGGGATCAGTATTAGGACCAATATTTTTTATCATATTTATAAATGACCTTATAAACTACATATATAACTTTGACGCTAGTATAAGACTATTTATAATTAATTTTGCTGACGATACTAATGCAATTATATCCTGCAAGGATAACAGCCAATTGAATCACCACGTAAATAACACACTTAATGCTTTTGACAACTGGTTCAGAGCTAATGTATTACAAATTAATCCATCAAAAACGAATATTGTATTATTTAAAACCACTGCACGAAACAGGGATACCTTGGATGTTCAGTTGAATGGTAGACATATAGAAATTAAAGATGTAGTAAAGTTTCTCGGGATTCATATTGATAACGCTTTAAATTGGAAACATGAGCTCATATCGTTGGAGAATTCTATCAGTTCTGCCTGTTATGCCTTGCGTAGTTTGAGAGAAGTGCTTACTAGAGAACAATTAAAGTCGGTCTATCATGCTTTGATTGAATCAAAAATTCGTTATAGCATTGCATTATGGGGTAACAGTTACAAATACAATGCAGAGGGCGCTTTTGCTTTGCAAAAAAGGGCTATTCGCACTATGGTACGAATTCCCCCTTGGGAGTCATGTCAGCAACATTTCAGGAGTTTGGGTATACTTACTGTACCTAGCTTATACATCATGGTGTTACTAACGGGACTTTTAAAAAGGAGAATGAACTTTGAATCAAATGTAGAGCAAAGTGAACGAGAAACTACTAGGAGGAAAGATTTGAAACATATTATTGATCCCAAATTAAATATTGTGACGCACTGCCCCCAGTATCAGTCTGTGAAATTGTTTAATAAATTACCCGTGGACCTTAAAATAATGAATGACATAAATATTTTTAAACAAAAATTGAGATCTTTATTATTGGAAAAATGCTGCTACTCAATTCAAGAATTTTAGAATTTTAAGTTTTAAATTAATTAACATTGCTGTAAATTATTATTATTATTTTTATTGTTATGACATTGTAAATTGCTTAATTAATTCATTATCTACTTATAAGTTGACATTCAGACACAATTTGTATATTGTTCTATGAATAAATGAATGAATGAAATAAGGTTCGTTCGTTCGTTAGCTCCTTATGAAAGGTTTCATCCAGGGAGCTACAGGGCACCAGTTTTGTACGGTGCTGGTGAAATTACAGGCACATGGAACTTGTTAATTTATGTCTCAGGTTGACGGGCGCAGTGCGGTGCCCCTCAGATCTTTGCAATTTAAAGCTCTGAACGGCACTGCAATTGTTATGGACAGGCGTGTAGCTTACCACCAGGCGTATGACTTAGGCTGCTAACAGATTGACTGCATGTATGCAGTTAATGCGTCGAGGTCTCGGCTGCATGAAGTTGATTACGACTTCTCGCACTAATTGCAAACATGCAATCAGTCCATTAGCAGCCTTATTATTCCCGTCATTCACTTGGTATCATTAAAAAAATGTACTTAGCAACCCGGCCCATTATAGCTATTATATTAAAGAATTGTTATTAATTGAAGCACGTTTACAGAATCTATTCCATTATGCATGTTTACAAGGAATTAAAGGCTTACCCTCTCACTTCGGGGTGCTCTTCGAGGTGGAAGATGAAGCTCTGCGGTAAACTGGAGAGCGCGGCGCAAAACCACGCCAATATCAAAGCTCGTCGCATGCGTGCCTCCCACGTCAAGTTTAAAGGCTTGAGGATCGCGTAATATCTGTAATATTAGAGGTATTTCGTACGTAAATCATATATTTTGTTATAGCAATTACATAATGTTTTGGTGTTTCGGTGTTGTAATCGAGCTAAGGTATATATTACAATAAACGCTTAATAAATACTAGAAATTAAAACAAGACTTAATAAATTAAATTAATAGAATTGGTTCCCTCGGCAAGGTGCCCAGGATGCTGGCAGCGTTCCCTCTTTGTATAGCTATGCTTGTACTTTGGGCGAGGCAGCCTTGGACTGACAGTCTATTAACCTGAACTGAAACAATCTATTAACCTGATTGTATACAATTTTGAGCAGACGGAGGTCACTGGGACCCCACTGATCAAAGGTTTCGACTCCAAAGGGTGTGAATATGTAGTCGAAGTCGAAGCCCTGGTACTTATCACTCTTTAGTCTTTCTGCCAGCTGCGGAGTCAGTCCTACGCTGCAGGTGGGACGGGACAAATGTGTTGACACACTAAACGCATTACTTAATTGGTTATTGTGCACATAATATTTGTAATTTATTAAGAGAGATCATACTCGGCAACTTCTAGCAGTGATGCAAACGCGATGCAAGCGCGCGACTGCATCGATATAAACGCGAGATTGCATCGCTACACTTGGGATTTACAGGCGATTGCATTGATGCAATGGCGCATTTGTATCGATACAGTCGCGCGTTTGCATCGATGCAATCGTCTATAAATCGTAAGTATAACGATGCAATCGCGTGTTTCCCAACTTCTGATGTCACGTTTTTTTCTTTCTGTACAGTAAAATTATCCTTTTAAAATTTTATTAAATACCAACTTCTGATGTCATGATTTTTTCTTTGGATACAATCAAATTACCTTTTTAAGAAACTGTGTCGATTAACGTGTTCCGGTTTTGAAGTGTAAGGGTGCTGGTGAAATTACAGGCACAAGGGCCTTGTCAACTTATGTCTCAGGGTCACGAGCGCAGCGGCGGTGCCCCTCAGATGTCTGCGATTTAAGGCTCTGAGTGGCACGCTACTGTTACGGACAGGCTTGTAACTTACCATCAGGCGCACGACTTGTTCGTCCCGTCACTTGTCATTACAAAAAATATTGAAGTGGATTAATTTTATAAACGGCATGTTGTCATTATATACAAGACGAAGACGAAGAACATTTCGGACCCCTCACCTAAGAATGGCATAAGTGAAGTTACGTCAAAAATGTTTATTGGTCCATTGGATACAGAATAATCTCAGTACAGAGTACTAAAAAACCGACCTCAAAAGTACGTGGAATTACATCTATTTGTCAAGTTTTATTGTAATTGGTTACCGGAAAGTGCGCAAACCTGGATTCAAACCGAAAAGTGCGCAAACCCGGTTTCGCCACTAGACGGAACTTGACAAAGGAGATAATAAAAATCGGTTCTCACTACTCAAAGTATATAGAGAGAGAAAAACGCCTTGAGTTGGAGAATAGCGAAAGCAACCATTAAACTAATTGCTCCTTATAATAAAATTTAGGCGCTATTTATAAAAATGAATCTTCATGAGTGAACGCCACGCTTAGAAGTGGATGATTTTCTTCAAAATTAATTGGGACAACTATGGAGGTATCCTCTTTCCAACAAAAAAAGAATCATCAAAATCGGTTCACAATTGGCGGACTTATCACGTAACATACATACAAAAAACACACAGTCGAATTGAGAACCTCCTCCTTTACTTGACCAAAAAATTGGCTACGTGAAAATTTTTTTCACTGAAAAAATTACCTAGTGGTTTCGAAAACATTTTGCTTGTACATCCTGTGGTTTCAGATTTCTCTATACTGTCCCAGTTAAATATTATTATTATTATATCAACGGTACCTACTATGTTGGATACAAAAGTGTCTCTTTCAGTTGTTGGTCACAATCTGAGTATATAGTATATATAGCCTTAAGTATATTACAACTGAGAATATAAGGTAAAAGAGATTTTTTCTTACCTGTCTATGGCGATGCAAATAAGCACGTAACTGGAAAGGTAAAGGCCGAAGGTCCTCGTGAACATCATGACCCGGCACATAACATCTCCTGCCAGCCACTGCACAGTGGCCGCCCACGCGATCTCCAGAGGCATCATCAGAAATGTCACCTGTACAGACACTGCTAACAGTTTAATGCTGTGTTATGGTTATGACACTTGGTTTTAATAGAATAATTACAATCATACCCCTGGTATAATATAGTCACAGTATAAAAAATGCTCATGACATGCAATGGGGTGCACGAAAAGCACCCTCCTCTCCTACACGACGTAACTTACGCCGATTGACAAAAGTGCTTTTATCGCATGAAAGCCATAAAAATAATAAGAAAGTAAAGTAAGTACGTGAAATAAATTATGCGTATGGGAAATTTTATAACTCTCATATTTAAACATAAACAAGTTATGGACTAATTTCATTCGTAGAATTTTTTGTATCTTTCTGCTGAAGGAGAAATTTTTCAGGTATGGTCTTATAGTTTTATGAAGTAGTAAATTTAAATATGTTCTTTAATCTCTGTTATGTTTTTTAATATGTTCGTGGTTATATGTGGATGAGAGATTGCAGTAAAACTGTTAGGTAAGCACAGCCACAGTTTGGGTTTTAATTTTCCAGCAAAATGTTACCCATGGCGCTATTTGAGTTACCAAAAGTTATAGTGTGTACGAAGTTCGCGAGTATGCCGTGAGCGATCGTCGGCCCACTGTAAACAGCACGCGTACATACTATGATTTTTGGTAACATAAACATAACATGCAACGGTAACGGTCACAGCTCACTAGTGCGTACCCAGCTTTATAGTTTGATATTGATAGTTATTATTTTGTTGGTATTCATTGATTGATTATTCCTTGTGCATGTCCAATGGTAGGTTATAGTTAAATTCGTTGTAAGTAAACACTGCATGCTTCATCAGGTAACATGTGTGTTCTATTTTATAATACAATGTTCCATCTCGTTCGTTTTAAGCAAATAAAATTTCGTTTCAATTCATTTTCACAACGTCGATTAACTTGCGGTCGCTCGACCCAGAGGTCCCGGTTTCGTTTCCCGGAAACACCAACTTGGGAAATGAACTTTTTTTAATTGGTTCTGGTTTGAGTATTCTGGGAAGGGCCCCAGAGTGAATTACTCTGTTACTTGTACAGGGAATGCCCTAGTTTGAGACCAGGCAATTGGTGTTTTTTTATAATACTAAGTGGCAGGACGAAGAAGTCTGCGCCTGGTGGTAAGAGACACGCCTGTCCATAGCAATGCAGTGCTAATCAGAAATCGCAAAGATCTGAGGGGCGCTGTCACTGCTCCCGTCACCCTGAGGCATAGTTGACAAGTCCCAAGTGACTGTACTTTCGCCAGCACCCTTACCCTTCAAAACCGGAACGCTGTAATAACATTACTGCTTGGCGGCAGAAATAATTAAAGTTCAAAAAAAGTTGTACTTCCATGGACGAACTCTTTTACAAGGGGCTCTACTGCTTCTAACAATGTGTGATTGTCTGACAAATATTATTTCATTTACGGGACACTTATCCAGAACATTCCGTAAGACCGTTCTGGGCTTTAATTCCTGTATCCCAAAGCTCTGCAGACTATATAATAAGTACAGTCCCGTTTACGATATATTTTGGCAGTCGCTGCACAAATTTCGCATTAGTATTATGTTAAACCTTATTTTTTTTTCCCCCAACTAGTTTGATGTTCTCCGAGACCCTTGAGTTTATTGGTATAGTTTGTATCACTTCTCTCTTTTTTTTTAATTTAAGTTACTTTTTTTAAATTCTCATAATTTACATTTACGTTGATTTTGCAAGCCGTGTTCACTCATAAGTAGTTGTGCAATTTAGATAAGAACTTCACCAAATTGAATTAATAGTATGTTACATTGTAATAACTGTGAGTGAACCAATGAACTATAAAAAAAATGAGATCAGAACCAATTTAGGAAACTTTATTTCCCATATTAGTTCTTAGGTACTTGTTTTTTTTATGATACCAAGTGGCGGAACAAACAAGTCGTGCTACCGGGTGTAAGCGATATGCTTATCCGTAGCAGTTGCAGTGCCATTCAGAGCTTTAAATCGCAATGATCTAATGGCTGCCGTCCTCTAACTAAAATTCGGCTAAGTGACAAAATATTTTTTTGAGATATCATAAAAAACTATAACCCTGTTTTAGAATATTGAAATTGTTTTATCATATTTCGGCTACGCATCGTCAGGGTAAGTCGAACACGTTAACTAAGTTTTTAAAAGAGGATTTTGTGCTCTTTAAAACGGATGTTTGACCATTTGTCACTTTGTTTTAGTTAGTGGACGGCCGATGGGCACTGCTACTGCGCCCGTCACCCTGATACATAAGTTGACAAGGCCCATGTGCCTGTATTTTCACCAAAATAACATTAAATGTAATAACATTAAACAGCATTAGGACAAATGCAATTACAAAAACCAATTAATGAGGTAATTTCTTGAATATGTTCACAAAAGTTTAACTCAAACCCTTTAAACGCTCTCCGTTTAACGCGATCTTATTCAAGGCGTTCAAATGGAAATAATTTTCTATTGAGTTTAATGAGAAAACATCAAAGCAAATTATCTATCCGAAATATTTGCAAGAGGAAAGCGCTATATTGTATTGTATTTTAGATCATAACTACGTACTAGACAAGTAATTCGACCTCCTTTGCATTTTTAGTACGCCCTAAACTTAGACAATATTTAATTGACGAATAATTATTATCTAATTTTGAAACTGGTATAGGTACTAAACGTTATGATGTTTAAGAGTTTATGAGCTCTTATTGATAATTTAAATTTACAATACCGGGGAACATTTTTTCTTCGATCGATAATAATACTTTTTTTAAATTTATTTACACTTCTGTTACACACAAAACATTATTTATTTAGATGTAAAAATGAACAAAATAACAAGATTTTCTTTAAAAACTTAAAGAATTTTCTCATAAATAAAAGTTATTATAATTTAAAAGAGTTTTTAGAAGATAAATTTGGTATCTGAATTTAGTAACTAGTCGATAATAAATATAATAATATAAAGCTGTTGGCGTTGGTATATATCAAATTATATATTAGTAAGTGTAACAATTATGAGACTAGTCCTCTCTTCTACTATTTGCTGTGCCCTGTTCAGGGTCCATAATTTGATCTCAATATATGTAAAACATCTGTAATGTACATTATGAAATGCATATAAATATAAAAAAAAATAAAAACTTAGAGCTAAGTCCAAACTCATGGTACCACGATTTCGTTTAACCAAGGTAAACAAGTATAGATGAATAGATGGCGCTACGGCAAAAAAGTCGTTGAAAAAACCAAATACAAAGACACGACAACAAACACAGAAAAAATCGTGAGGTCCGCTGGTTCGTTCAATGGCTTAGCTGGTATAGCGTCTGCCACGGTATACAAGAAGACGGTTCGAATCCGGCCAGAACGATGGAATTTTTCTGAGTATTCGATCTTTGTATTCATAATTATTTACTAAACTTGGATCTGTTTTAGACATTAAAGGGACAACTCCACACAATACCCACCGTGCGATCCTGTTTATTCTCATTACTAAGGATACACATTATGATTGAAATAAATAATAACTAACTATTGACTATGAATGAAGTAACCCGATATATGAGTAACGAGTTAGGTCATTGTGACTTTCAAGCGAATCGATTCAATATTGTAATAATACACATCACATTTTGTAATAATATTAAAACTTGATTTACAATAAATATTTAGTTGTAAATAGTTTTTGCCCTCCATTTCGGGCATTAAAGGGTTTATCCCGATTTGTTCAGGTTTGGTATTCTGAAATAAAAATTGATATTATTCTACATAACTCAGTATACTTGGTACTTGGTACTTGGTGTAACGGGCTGGTGTCCGCAACTCGACGTCAAGGCGCCTATTTTGCGTAATAACTCAGTATATTTCAGAACAGAACACGTATCTACGTAACTACTCTGTAGTACACAAGTCGCCATGATGCAATATTATCTTACCATACATACAAAACTGTAAAGAATGCAAATGATATAAAGTTATTCAGGCTATGTAGAATTTTTGTCTTCAACAAAATCGTTGTTAAAACCCGGGCGCTTGCTTATCTTTGGAAATAAACATTTAAAAATAGGTAAATAAAGTCATACGAAATCAATTTTAAATGAAGCTGTTCAACAATCGCTTTAATGTATTCTTAAAGGCTTTTGCTGCATTTCTGCGTTTTATTAATGACCTCTTTGAATAAATCTCCATGTGGATAAAAATAGCTTTCTTTTGATGACAATGTAGACAACTTAATGTTTCGATATCGTAAAAAGTATTCTTTTTGTTAAAAACATTTTTAAAAAACTTCATCATCATCACCAACCCATTTATACGTCCTACTGCTGGACACGGGTCTCCTCTCAAGTTCTCTCTCTCTAGAAAAGTTGTCATTTCGCAGATGAGGCCTTATTACACCAAGGGTACGAAATTATTTTAATGTATGTGTCAAGGATATAGAAAAAAAGTCTGCAGTTGAATTTAGTTAGGTGATTCAACAGTATGCGTGACTAACACAGATACTTTAGAAAACGAAGAACGTGTAAATTTAGACAAATGAAAAAATCTCGGGAGTTTATAAGATTTGTTTTTCAATTTGCGTCGCAAATTAAAAAAGGGTCCCTTTTGGATAACCTACAAGCATAATCCGATTTGTA